GTCTTTGATCTTCCAAGCTGTTTAATGGCAGTCAGCGGGTGTTGCAGTGCATCAGTCCAAAAGAAGAGAAATAAAGCACATCCATACATAATAAAAAGTGCCTCACATGGCTCCGGGGGGTGAACAAAGGCCTCCTGTTGCGAATCGATGCATTTTTGTAAGAAAAATATCCATATTCAAAACGTAACAATCACTTTAATCTAGCTTGCGTCAGCAGTTGTACATGGAAGCAGATGACGTAAGATGTCGGCATTGCGCATGCGCCGGTGAGTCTTGTGAAAACCAACGTTTGTTTACAGGAGCAAAGGAAGAGTACAACAGTGAGCGCAAGCTAGATTAAATTGATTATTGTGTTTTAAATATGGTTATTTTTCTTATAAAAATGTATCGATCCGCTACAGGAGACCTTTGTTCACCCCCCGGAGCCGTGTGAGGCACTTTTCATTATGGATGGATGCGATTTATTTCACTTCTTTTGGACTGATGCATGCAACACCTGCTGACTGCCATTAAACAGCTTGGAAGATCAAAGACAATTTTTTATATAACTCCGACTGGATTCGTCTGAAAGAAGAAACTCATACACCTAGGATGCCTTGAGGGTGAGTAATTCATGGGCTAATTTTAATTTTTGGGTGAACTAACCCTTTAATTTCTTTAAAAAAATTATCTTACTGACCCCAAACTTTTAACGGTAGTGTAGGCTGGCTACGGGTTTGTGTTTGGGTCTAATACTGGGCAGGCTGTTTTTATTGTATTTATTTTTGTAATGTAACAAAATCTTAAATTTCATAGCAAGCTGGGGAGAAAGTTACAATATGTTTACATAGAAATTCAAACGGTTTTATTTCAAACAGAAAATGTTAAGAGCAGTTAATAAAATTAAATATTAAAACTGTCACAAAACAAATTATGGGCCACTTATAAATAAAATTAATTTTCATAATACAGGCATACTGCTTGTAATAAAGCAAAACCGTGATTTATTCCCACCTGTCAACAAACCTGGGCTTCAGTCCCAAACCTGCACCTGCACCTTCTGAAAGCTTTCCTTTGTGAAACACCATTTGGTTTAGTTTATGTTATTGTCATTGTAGCTTCTTGTTTATATTACCCTGATCTCGAAGTAAAGAGGATTATAGGGGTCTGATAAATGTGTTTCTTCTCTTCTCCCATGTCTGCAGGGAAACCGTTCCTGCGGGCCCCTCAGATGAGCATCGGTACATGGGGCCGGCTGGTGAGGAGGGCCATTCCCTCTCCCAATAACTCATTTAGTCCTCAAGTGGCAGAGCTGGCAGCTGAGACTGGACACAGCAGTCACCCAGGAACCCCTGCTCTGAGGAGGCATGAACACACAATATAATGAACACACTTACTTTGTTAAACCAGTCATTAGGCAGTGCTTTCACGTGTCTGTTTGTGTTTGTCTGCCCTCTCTAGTGACCCAATAGTGACAAAACTGGACTTTGACAAAGACGCTACACCAAAGCATTACTCTCCTCTTAGTATAAGAGAAGTCTTGCCTGAAGACAAGATCCCCAACAAAGAGCAAGAACAGGTAACATCACACACTATCATGTGGTTGTTGTAGAGATAAGCTGTCCAGACATCTGTGTTGATGTCATCTGTTTCCTTGAAAGCACAGTTAAGACTCCTTTAAACTCTGTGGATAAAGATCTGAAGCGGACATGTAATTCATGTTTAGTCTCTCATCTGCCCCCTTGCATTTGAAAGGAAAAGGAAATGCCTTCACCGTTACCTTTATTAACATAAAGATAACAGCTATCCAGTGTCATCTTGTATAAACAGCGGCAGCTGAAAGGCTTATGTTCTTCTTTTACAGGACTCTTTGACTTCATTTGACTACCGAAATGACAGAAATAGCATCATTGTTCAGTCTGAGCTTGAAGAAGTCGTGGAACATGAGACTCAGCCGTCAGCGTTACAGCTCATAACTGTCCAAAAGAACACAGAAATAAGGTGAAGTATTTATAGTTTGTCTTGTATTGGCAAATATACACTCGACATTACTAAAGGACTTTTGTTGTTGTAGGGATGAAGAGGAGGAAGAACAGTTTAATTTCAGTCTTAAAGACTTTAAATGTGTTGCAGTGTTAGGCCGTGGCCATTTTGGAAAGGTATGAGGGTATTTACAGTTTCCTTTTTTTAGTGGTGATTGCTAAGGCAATATCATTTTTGGATATTTAGGTAACACTTTAAAATAAGGTTCCATCAGTTCATGTTAGTTAATGCATTGACTAACATTAACATTAAATAACCATGAGCAAAACATTTGTTACAGCATTTAATGTTAGTTAATAAAAATGCAATTGTTTATTGTTAGTTCATGTTAGTTCATGTCCATTAAATAATATTAACAGATACAGCTATAGATTTTAGTAATGTATTAGTAAATGTTGATTTAACTATGATTAATAAATGCTTCAGATGGGTTTTTCATTATTAGTAATACTAATTAATTAATACTAACAAAATAACAATTTTTTATATTGAACATTATAATATTGTGATGACTTAATTTATCAGTCATATTTAAAATGTTTGATTTTAGATTTCAGTATTTTATTTTAGAGACATTTATATGTAATATATATATATAATATATTCTGTATTATAAAAATAACATTTATTTTATTTGATATGGACCATTTATCGGTTATTGTTCACGAAAAAAAAAAGATCAGTTTGTCAGCATCTGACATTCCTACTTTTTTGCTATTAACTTTAGGTAACACTTTACTTAAAGCCTTTATGTATAAAGCATTATAAAATTAGTTTTAATGCATTAATTATGCCTTGTAATGCACCTTATAATGCATTGTACAATCTCATGAATAATTGTAACCACAATTAATACATTATAATAACACTTATCAATTCATTGTTGCACTATGCATTTTAAATTCGGTTATAATTATTTTCAACAAGATATAATGTATTACAACGCACATTATGAATGATTATAATGCATTATAGCCTTTAATAACCCTTTATTTTACTTTACTTAAAGCCATTATACATAAAGGCTTTAAGTAAAGTGTTACCTAACTTTTTTATACGTTTCTTTTTCTGTGACAGATCATACAGCTAGCAAAAAATGCTATATTTACATTTAAAGAGAGAATGATATCTTTACCAAGATATCCTAGAGACTTGAGGATGGTCTTATAGGACTAGTAGACAACCACCCAAAATGCCCTAACAACCATATAGCACTACATATACCTTGACAAATACCCTAAATAGTGACAGTGACTTTTCTAGAAGGGAAACACCACTCACAGAATCTAGTTGTCATTAAATCTGTTTTCACCTTTGCCTCCAGGTGTTATTAGCGGAATACAGTATTACAGGTGAAATGTTTGCCATCAAGGCCCTTAAGAAGGCAGATATTGTCACACGTGATGAGGTTGAAAGGTAAATTGTTCTTCTCTGTTTTATATATGATAATTTGTGAGCAGCACTTATCAACTACAAGCTGTTTGGTCTCATTTTATCCTGTCTTCTTTTCTGTTCTCCCAGTTTGATGTGTGAGAAGAGGATATTCGAGACTGTGAACAGTGTGCGGCATCCGTTCCTCGTCAATCTTTTTGCATGTTTCCAGACCAAGGAGCATGTGTGTTTTGTGATGGAGTATGCGGCGGGAGGAGACCTCATGATGCACATTCATGCCGATGTGTTTTCAGAGCCGCGGGCCACGTGAGTGACACAAAAGTCATGCTTTTAGATAAGTCATTATTTAAATCATCAGCCTTTGTCATCATTACATGTTCTGTTGTTGTTGTTGCAGGTTTTATGCAGCCTGTGTCGTCCTGGGGTTACAGTTTTTTCACGAGCACAAGATTGTATACAGGTATTAGAAAAGATCTGTACTTAAAGGGGTCATATGATGCGATTTCAAGTTTTCCTTTCTCTTTGGAGTGTCGATTGCAAGGTAGCTACCACATTCAAGGTCCAGAAAAGAACCAAGATGATCGACAAAGTAGTCCGTGTGACATACAAAGCTACGAGAATACTTTTTTGCGCAAAGAAAGCAAAAATAACAACTTTATTCCACATTTTCGTCTCTACTGCGTCACTTGTGGACGCACGTTCACGACAGTACCATGACGCGAGCGTGTGGTGGCGCTGACCCAGATCCGGCGTAATGACGTCGTAACTTTACAGTTGAACTACTGATGTGGGAGGGTCAGAGAGCCCTCAGATTTCATCAAAAATATCTTAAATTGTGTTCCGAAGATGAACGAAGGTCTTACGGGTTTGGAACAACACGAGGGTGAGTAATTAATGACAGGATTTGCATTTTTGGGTGAACTAACCCTTTAACTATTTAATTTTTTGACACAAATATTCGTTTTTCATTAAATTCATTTGAGGATTAATACATGTGTTCTTCAGAGATCTGAAGTTGGATAACTTACTGCTTGACACAGAGGGATTCGTCAAGATTGCCGACTTTGGTCTTTGCAAAGAAGGTAAGGATATGTTTGTTGTTGTGTTGTCTGCTGTACAAGCCCCAGAAGCAAATGTTCTACCTTTTTCTGTGTTAGGAATGGGTTACCGGGACAGAACGAGCACTTTCTGTGGCACTCCAGAATTTCTGGCTCCTGAGGTGTTAACCGACACATCCTACACACGTGCGGTGGACTGGTGGGGGCTCGGCGTGCTTATCTTTGAGATGCTTGTCGGCGAGGTCAGACCTCATCCACTTCGGTTTATTCATTTCTCATCATCTCTCTAAATACACTACCTTAAAAGTTTGGGGTCAGAGTTTTATTTAATTTTATTTAATTTTATTTTATTATTTAATTTAATTGTATTGTATTTTATTTTATATAAGTCTCTTATGCTCACCAAGGCTACATTAATTATTTAATTAAAAGTACAGTAAAACATACAAAAATTGGCAATTTGAAATAATTTTCTATTTTAATATATTTAAATTAATACCCCAGTCTTTAGTGTCACATGATCCTTCAGAAATCATTCTAATATGCTGATTTGCTGTCCAATAAATTATTATTATTAATGTTTAAAACAGTTAATATTTTTGTGGAAACCATGATACATTTTTCTCAGGATTATTTGATGTACAGAAAGTTATAAAGAACAGCATTTATTTGAGATGGAAATAACATTAGAAACATTAGAAATGTCTTTACTGTCACTTCAGATTCCTTCCTGAATGAATAAAAGTATTAATTTCTTACAAAAAATGTCCTTCCTGAATGAATAAAAATATTAATTTCTTACAAAAAAGAATCTTACTGACCTCAAACTTTTGAGGGTACCTCATAACTTTGACGAGGAGATATTCATATTCATACAAGCAAATGTATTAAGTGTGAAAGTGACAGTATTTTTGTAACAGGTTTGTTACTAAGTGAACTCATGTTTCCATAGTCTCCATTTCCCGGTGATGATGAAGAAGAGGTGTTTGACAGCATTGTGAATGACGAAGTCCGCTACCCAAGATTCCTCTCAACAGAAGCCATCTCCATTATGAGAAGGGTTGGTACTAAGAGCAGCTTTACCAGTGTGAATTTACCAGGTCTTGTTATTAATATCTTTCACTTTGGCGCACAGTTATTAAGAAGGAATCCCGAGCGACGACTTGGAGCCTGTGAACGTGATGCAGAGGATGTGAAGAAACATCTGTTCTTCAGGGTAACTTCTGAACCATCTGGCTACATGTCTCAATTCATTCCAAGCAATGTATTTTTTTCCCCTTTCTCTTTCTCTATCAATATTATTTGTACCTTCTGTTTTCCAGAATATTGACTGGGATGGACTATTAGCAAAGAAAGTGAAGCCACCATTTGTACCCACAATCCAGAGTTCCAGTGACGTTAGTAATTTTGATGATGAATTTACCTCAGAGGCTCCGGTGCTCACACCGCCCAGAGAGCCCCGGCCCTTGACCCAGGATGAGCAGGACCTGTTTGCAGACTTTGACTATATTGCAGACTGGTGTTAGCCACTTGTTGACATCCGTCCCTCTCCACACACATGCACAGATACAGAAAATGTGAATCAGATCATTTGCAGATATCCCTTTTTGTCGTCAGTGTTATATTAGGATTACCACAACCCCTTTTCCGTATTAACATGATGAAGAAACGTTTATTATTATTTTTTTTTTTAAATGGAGTATGTTCTGGTTCGGGATAATTATTCCATTTCATCAGGACCTAAGCACTGATCATGAAAAACATAAACTGAGCAGTATAGTTTACAACTATACTGACAACTGACACAATGAACCATGTGATCAGGTGCCTCACTGACACCCCCTTGTGTTGAGGAAGCCAGCACGCCACATCCACATTCATCTTGCCCACAGAATTTCTTCAGTCACACTGAGAATGAGCCTTCGTTTTTATAGTTTTGTTTTTGAAGCATTTACAATGCGACTGGTTTAAATAATCTGTCAGCTGTCAATGTTAATTATGTGAAAGGGTTTTTAAAGCCATAGACCGAAATAATAGGTGATACATTGTACCTCATCCAGTGAATGTATAGTTTGCCACGATTACCAAAACATCTAGCCATTTTTATGTAATGGAGAATATACTCTTCCCTACAGTACAGTATTAATGCATTATGATCCAAGTTACAACGAAAACCGCAAATATGAACTACCAGTTACAACTCTAGTCATACGTCAGTGCTTTGAAACAAGAAATGCATTTACTTCCATTCAGTAAGTTATTTTTCTATCAAGTTTCAGGATAGGGTCATGTTTTGTTTTGTTTTTTTACCAGACTTAAGCTGTCAGTGGATTTACACTACCGTTCAAAAGTTTGGGGTCAGTAAGTTAATACTGTAATTCAACACTGAAAATTCAGCTTTGCCATCACAGGAATAAATTACATTTTAAAATATATTCAAATACTAAACCGTAATTTAAAATGTTACCACATGTCACAATGTTACTGTTTTTACTGTATTTTTGTTCAAATAGATTTCTCAAATCAAGGTTTCTTTTAATAACATAGAACATTTTTACCAACCTCAAACTTTTAAACGGTGTGTATGTGACAGGCAATCACATTACCTCATTACCTAGTTACTGAAATTCCTCCATTTCATGTTTTTTTCTTCATATGTGGACATGAGACATGACAGACTGGAATCTATGCTAGACACCAAATATCAATATAAATATACTAATAACTGGTCTAGATGTTCAAAAATAGGCCTGAAGCTTCATATGTGTAATAATAAGCAATCCAAGTGGAGGGGTAGATACTAGTTGGAGGTCTGGTGTTATATAGGCTACACTACATAAACAGTATCAAGCTGGAAGCACTAATTTTTGTCTAAAATATCCATGTTTTATCTAAATGGTGGGAAAACAAAAGGACCGTACAAAGCTTTTCTACCCACTACTTGTATGTCGGAGCATGATACAGAAGAAAAGTTTCAAAGGTACAGTCGTGAAGTTTGACTACAATGGTGTAAATAACAGGTTTTGCTCAAACTGTCAGCCATCATGAATGCAAAAATTAAATGTTTATTACATAAGTCGTGAGTCTGCATTTCGTAGACCTAATCAGGTTGTAAATGGTTTATTTGTCACTTCAAAAAGGATTCTCTGGTGTTTCATGAAATCTTTATAATAACTGAGCTGTAGATACAGGAACAGAAACACACGAACAGAAACTTCTGCTTCATACCGTTCCCCTCGTGAAAGAAAAAAAAGAGGGGGAAACAAAACCATTCGTGAGCTACACGCTTTCAAAGCCCATGGCATTTGTACACCTGTTCTGGGGATTTCCGAGATGTTCACCATGCTTTTCTGAAAAGCATTTAAGTTACTAAATATAATGCAAACAAGCTAACAAAATCATTTCCTACAAAAGAAAATGTTACAGTAAGAAATATGCCTAGTTGCAACCACCAAATTCTCACTTAGACATACGTACAATTTATATACACACAAATGAAAGTACAGCCTGCAATCTGTGATTTAACTTGGAATGTGTCTTCTGTACTTTGTCGAATCCCTGCCGTCGTCTTTTCAAAAGGTTTGTGCCTTCACGGGGGGAGAGCAAAACGTGTAAATTTCAAAGAGAAAAGGGCAAAAATTCTGAAAGTACAAAGAGCGGTGAGTGTGGGGCACATGGGTGTTCACAGTTGAGGCAGTTTATCCACTGGTGTGTCGAACTTGAAGTCTGGAGGAAAGAGATCGGCAGCGCGGGGATAAATGAGACGGTAGGACTGACGGATGGTGACGTCTGCCACTCCAGCGATGTCCCCAATCTCTGCACAGGAGAAAAATAACTTCCATTCATCAAGCATGCTAACATACCGCCTTTCGTTTTTGATTATCGCAATACTCGTCGACTGGATTATACATTTGTTCTCTCTTACCCTTCTGTGTCTTCTTCTCAGCAGACGCTTGAGAGGCCATGTAAATGGCTGCAGCTGCCACTGAGATCGGACTGCGCCCTGGAACCAAGTCCAGTTCAACGGCCTTCCTGGCGATGTAAGTGGCCGCCATCTGCACCTGTTTGGGCAAGCCCAAGTTGGAGCAGAAACGTGACATGAAGTCGCCGGTTGTAATGAGATCCACGCTCGTCTCAAGAGCCTTCAGGATAAGCTTGAAGCAGCGGCCAATCTCCTTCTTCGAGATCCGAGACACGGCACAGATTTCTGGGGTAGAGGGAGATAGAAATTATATATAATCAATACCTGCTGGAATATTGATAGCTAAATATCTTCAGTTCTAGAGTTATCTAGCATCATGCTAAAGGTGAAGTGTGTCATTTCTGCACCACAAGCATGGAGTTACAAAACGAAGAGGTTTTCCAGAACACTCCCTTCTGCCTTCCACTGGTCGCTCAAACAAATAAACTCACACTATTGAGGGCAACAGTGCCCACCCACTTTTTCAGTAGGCTTTGTTCTGGAAGAATTTTTTTCCCCACAGGGATTTAGAAAAGTCTTTTAAGAGTTACGAAACAACCAGCTATGAAGTGCTTTGGAACTTTACAAACTTCAAAGCCCAAAAAAATTAAATCAAGTATTTAATTGATGGTAAAAGATAACACTATTGATTTAAAGGTGTTAATTTAAAATTTGGCTAAATAATTCTTAGCTTTACCAAAGCAAATACCATCGATTAACAACCTCGTAGCTCACAGTAAGTCTGTTTTAATTTTAACTGTTTATAAGTTATTGATCAAAATAAAATTGCCCTATGAAGAAAATGCTGACTGTTGCCCTCTATTGGTTGAGCCAATGTTGACGGTAGACGCAGTAAATTCAGTACAATATAGTCTATTAATAAACAACAACATAAAAAAAGAGCAAGTGGTTCATACCTTTAAATGTTCTAGGGACGCCCTCCTGTCTGCAGGCTATGTAAAGGCAGGCTGAAGCGATCGCATCATTACTTCTGCCTTTCAGACTCTTCTGTTCGTAAACCTGTTTGAACAAGTTGTTTGTTCGGTCCTGAAACAGAGAAAGGAAACTTTACTGAGAGGATGGAGGAATATGCTCTTCAAGTGAGGTTGGAAATACTGATTAAAGGGGTCATATGATGTTGCTAAAAATAACATTATTTTGTGTATTTGGTGTAATGCAATGTGTTTATGCGGTTTAAGGTTAAAAAAAAAAACGTTATTTTCCACATACTGTACATTATTGTTTCTCATCTTTCTAAAATGCGTCGATTTTTACAAAGCTCATCGGTCTGAAAAGTGAGGTGTGCTCTGATTGGCCAGCTATCCAGTGCATTGTGATTGGCCGAATACCTCAAGCGTGTGACAGAAATGTTACGCCCCTTACCATATTTGGAAACACACAGCGTCTCCACAACCTGGCGGCAGCGACAACAACAATACTACAGCAAGAATAAAAGTTACGAATTCTTTCTTTGCGTATACATTTGGGCGGTGTTATCCAAATCATCCAACACAGTGACATAGATTTGTGGGGGTGTGTTTTAGGAAGGCGTGGGTGAGTCTTAACTTTTAGAAAGCATGTCTCTTTTGAGTTTGAAACTTTAATCTTTGTGACTACGGATCTTATATATGCACGAACAGCTTGTAACACTCCAAAGACAAAGGAAAACATGAAATCACGTCATATGACCCCTTTAACGAATGACCATGAATGTTTTTAATAGTGCAAAACTCTTCTAGTCTAGTGATACACGCGTTGCCAAGTTCATCAGATGTGTTGATGTAAAACATGACAGAAACACTTACCCATAATAGGTCAAATCTTCAATGTACAAACTTTATTTAGAGAAGCCAGCTCTAGTGAATGATTGCGCAAATTATTTTGAATTAACATCCTGTATTTCAATCATTTTAATGGTGTGATTTACAAAGCAGCTTACAGACAAAAAGTGTTAAGTTAATCATTCAACTTTCATGGTTTGCTTTAAAAAACAAACAAATATTTTTTATCATGTATGTTATACAAAATTCTGAAGTAGTTATTTGGCTTAACTGTTTACAAAATCATTTTTTGGTTTAGTTTAGTTATGTGTTGTGTTTTTGACTTGAACGAGTGCATAATTATGTTACCATCTAATTCAATAACAGTAGGATGGGACACTCACGATGATGTTTCTGGGGAGGTTGATCCTGTCGGCCATGGTGGTTATCTCCTTGAAGGCATTCAACATGGCTCGATCGGAGCTGCTCATGGTTCTCCGATTCTGGTACTTGGAATTTCCAAACTCATCAAAGCTCGCTGCACCTGTTCCCTGAAATACCATATTTAAAAATCATGATGAAAACACACATTTATGCATGTATGCATTATAAATAGGTAGACAAGTTCCTTACTTTGCTGATCATGGTGGTGAGGTCTCCTCCATTGAGGAGAGGGTTCTGAGTGTCACCAACACGAGACGGATCTTTAGTTGCTTTCTCATTGGTGAACGTTCTCCACTCTGACCCTACATCAATTACACGGTCACCTAAGAAAGAAAGAAAACACAAGCTTATTGTCTTATTGTTTAAGTTAGTAATGAAAAATGTCCACTTAAAGCTTGACTATTCAGAAGCAGGTGGAAACTCATACCTACTACGAGGCCACATTCAGGACAGATCATGTCTCCTGCCCTGTAGTCCTCCACCAGTATTGCATCGGGGTGATTGGGGCATTGCACCTTGGGAAGAGAGTCTCCACTAAAACAGACAAAATTCCAGAGGTCAGGAAAAATCCACATGAACTCTTGAACTCTACTGACATTAGAAAACAACTGTTTGTCTGTGGATTAGGATACAGTAAACACTACAGGAAGATGCCAAATGAACCACCACAGATACTCATAGAGCAGGGGCATATTAGATTTTTTTTTTTTTAATTGGATACGGATTAATTAATTAGAGAAGTTCTTGATGCATCTTATCCTTTTCTTCGTTTTTTTTTTCTTATCTATTTTTTTAAACAGATTTTTTAAAACATATATGAACTTCTACATGGGTATATATATATATATATATATATATATATATATAAAATCTAAACCTTACTTTAAATATGACATCAACTTTTAGTGTTACTCTCAGACCCCTATTGACTTGTAAATTAATCCATTATTTTGATTATGCCATATGCTCGGCTAAGGGGTTGTTATGCATCAAATTATATATTTGTGCAATCCCTATAAAATTATAAGCTTTAAATATATAAATATTAAAACAAAAATAAAAAATAACAGTGGACTAATGGGTGGCTTGGGCTGTTACAGCAGGTGACTGCTACTAAACACTGATGTTGTAGCCTCAACAACGCAGACATGAGTTAGGATAAATAAAGGAAATGTTTATTAGATAAATAATCAATAGGAATCGCTTCCTGAGAGTTTTCAATAGCCCATCTTGTTAGTGATGCACGCGCAGTTAGCTCTGTGGTGACTGTGTTGTTTGGCTTGGTTTTGACAGGCATCTCAACCTTCCACGCAGATCTGAAACAACTTATCTGACGGCTTGTCTTTAAAAATTATTTGCAGAAATGAGCTCTCATTGTGTCGTATTTCATACGATGCGAACAGCTAGCCAACGTGCGCTAGCAGAAAATGACAGTGTACTCATTATCCAAGATCGGCTTTATACGCACCACAACGACAACAAACTACGACTAAAAAGCCTATAGAGGCCCACATCGGACAGATTCAAGGGTCATCTACGCCATCCTTTACAAAACGACATCAGTGAGACACAAAACCAGCAGAAATGGTAACTAACCGGCTCGTCGACGCCATACTGTTACTGTCTGTTGTCCACGGCAGTGACTCTGGTGAACACAATGGACGCCCGCTACCCATATTTATAGGTTTTCTAGGTCACGTGTACAGGGCAGAGACGGAAAGCCACAAGTGCCAAACTTACAAATGTATGATTCGACATTCATTCATGTTCAAAAATTCATGCGAAGTCGTTTCTTCTCATTACATTTCAAATGTTCAGTTTCAACCTTAAAATACAGGAATTCAATTTGTTATGTTTTTCACATTAAGTAGTCTCTTTGTCTGACATTCCAGATTGAATTCATTATACAGTTAATATAAAAATATAACAGTTTTATTATATATACAACAGCCCAACTTAGATGTTAGAGCCAGCCCTAGCACAATATGCATCTAATTTTGTAGTTTGTTTTAACTCAAATCCGATTATAAATAGTGCTGTATAATACATTACAAGTCTGGTCTGAAACATAACACAGGCGCAGTATTGCACATGGCTTTAATTGGACTACAATGGAAAATGCACGTGATTTGCAGTCTCATTTTAAAACTATTTGTTCTTTTTAATTCCTCTGTTTACTGACAAGGCCTTTAAAGTTTCAACAATGCTGTATTTAAAATTATATACCATCCCTAAATTCATTAATCATTTGTGCTTAATAATGCAGATGTCTCATGCAAAGTTATTATTGGTTTAATTCCTCCTGTAGTGCTCTCAGAAACCAAGGGTTGGGCCCTTTTATAAGCATGCTATGGTGAGAACACTCATATCTCTCTTAACTCATAAGGGATAATTTGTTCTCGTCTAATGATACTCAAGAGCACTAAAGGAGCAAATGCACTGATAAACAGGTGATGACATCTTATATACATTTTTATGGCAGCTGCATGTGTAAAATAAAATGTGTTGAACTTATATAAACAGTAGAAATGGGGATCATTTGGATTTCTGTCATTTACGGAAATAAGTAGGCTACGCATGCCATAAACTATATTATGATTCTTTATGAATAATCAAAAGCATTCGAAACTGGTGGAATAAAAAAAAAATGACAGAAGAGGAAGAAAAATACACGTGTTCATGATTCAGTCAGACAGACAACAAAGGAAAATCTATGTTCCTCTTTACAAACTAGCTGAAACTTGAAAAAAACATTTGGGGTGGGTTAGTTTAGTAACCAAGACATTTCCTGCACACTGTGCCAACCAAACATTACTCCACCATTTAATAAGCATCTGGCTAGTTTCCTCATAATAAAAAGGAAGAAGAAAAGAAAGTATAAGAAAGAGTGATCGGGGTCTTAATAATTGAATAGCTAAGGCTGTCAGAACTGTAATACTTCACAGTCTCCACCTTTAATTAAAAAAAAACTTGATCTAAAACACTGATTTGTGTACTGGGCGCGTCTGCAGCTCTAAGAGCCTTTTTGTTGATAATTCACCTTTATCCAGTGCGTTCATAAACGCTACGCTGTTAACGTCCAATGAAATACGCAGTTGACGAACGGAACAGCTCCGTCATATTGACTGCTGAACTACAAGTCGGAGCAGGTCGGACAAAGAATCGCAAATTTTAACCACGCCGAAGTTAGACTGCTCTGGACAGCGTGTGCAGTGCTTGATGGACACTACATTACTACACTGAAACAAGACTGTTTGGTGGCGATTATGCTGACTTTTGTAGTCCGTTTCCTGCTCAACAACAACTTTTGACAAATCTAGCGTTTAAAGCAATATGACAATAAGGATAAGGACAGCGCGCACTCTTCCATCCCAGTGAAAAACAGCATAGAGACAGTAAGTAGACCGTTTTACTGTTTTAATCTGGGTCTTTGAGGCTTATTTCTTCCTACTACCTAGAAATATATTGTTCCCAGGGACTGCATGTTATGTGAGTTCAGCAGTTTAGCGTTTCAGACTCTGTCTGCCTCGTAGATCTTGACATCAAATTACTGCATTATACGAATGAGAATATTTCTATTTTAAGACAATGTTTCATTAGCCTGATAATATCCATTTCAGAACAACCTAGAAACGTTTTCAAATTAAATGTACAGGGTCATCGACTAAATGGCTGCATTTGCATTCTGAATTGGTGATTTAAAAAGTTTACTCATAATAATGTATGAAAACTAAAGCCATAATTTGGCCTTGTGCTGTCTTGGCTCTACAAGGCGCTTCTTAACAGAATTTAATGTTGACATACATTAAAACAGTTTTGTGTATTTGCAAGGTCGCCCCCTACTGATACATCTAACAAAATATGAATCGAAGTCACTATAAGGCTTGTCCTGAAAAGAGAATTAGCTGTAAAAGTCAAAATAAAGACACATAAAACACTCTTTTTGTGGAATGACCCAGCGATGCAATCAACTCAAAGTTAGAATCGTGGGCTTCTTAGCTTATATATTTCTTAAATCCCTTAAATGGTTAACACAGACAATTCTAATGATTACCAGCTGCCATGTGTTTCCAGCATTCCAGTTTAGCAGACATCAAATAAAGCAGTGCTCGAACTGTGTGCATGCCACTGGGTGTTTAAAAACAGAATTGGGCTATAAACAGAATTGGGCTATAAATACCATGTTGGCAGCCAAAAATGTTTTAACCCAGAATCAGGAATCACATCTGAAGTGAATGGACACGTGTTTCTCATGCCACACAAACATGCGAGTCGTCGCAGTGAAGTGCTATTTCAAACATAACACACTCTTGAGATGGTTCGGACCTTTCATGTTGTAACTTGAAGCCACATGTGGCTAGCAGGTATTTTTCGAATTATGCACAGTCAGTACATGCACTCTGCATGGGGTAACTCACTCTTTTATATATACATTTGTGCTGTAAGTCATTTTCAGTGAAAGAATCTGACTAAATATAAATCTGCTCAATAAAATATAGTGTTCGTTTACTTTATCTTGGAGTAAACACCCAAGACCTTTGAAGAATATTGAGACATGTAATAGACTCAAATTAATTCTGTTCAAACATGCACTGGTTTCATATGCACTGACTGCACTACTCTTTATTACAGGGATGTTTAGTCTAACTGAAGTTGCCTCCCTTAATGACATCCAGCCGAAATACCGTATTCTGAAACCATGGTGGGATGTGTTCATGGATTATATTGGAGTAATAATGTTGATGTTAGCCATCTTTTCTGGGACTATGCAGTTATCCAAAGACCAAGTGGCATGTCTTCCCATTCTTGAGGAAAGCACAAACCCTGAGGCAGCACAAAATCGATTAGAATGTTCCACATCAGTTCTGGGCACCACACCCTCAACAACCAGAGACCTTCCTGACAGCGTTGCACATGAACTCCTTAACACTCAACCTACCCCCTTAAAAGGAGAAGATAGGTGGTCTCAACCTCAACCCAGAGGACGAAAAACAAATCTGGACTATCAGCAGTATGTTTTTGTCAACCAAATGTGCTACCATGATGCCCTACCATGGTACAACAAATACTTCCCTTACCTTGCCCTCATACACACCATAATGCTAATGGTAAGCAGCAATTTTTGGTTCAAGTACCCAAAGACCAGCTCAAAGATTGAACACTTTGTTTCCATTTTGGGGCGGTGCTTTGAATCACCATGGACAACGAAAGCTTTGTCTGAAACCGCTTGTGAAGATTCTGAGGAAAAGCAGAGATTCACAGGTGGTGTGGTTTTCCAGAAACACGTATCCTCGGAGGACAGCAGTCAGTCTACACCTTTAATTGAAACTCCAACGGTGCAGTTTCCAACCGAAAAGCTTATTGCAGAAGCTCCTAGCCTGACCACCTTAGACAAAAAAGATGGAGAACAAGCCAAGGCTCTTTTTGAGAAAGTGCGAAAATTTCGAGTCCATGTAGAAGACAGTGACTTCATCTATAAACTCTACGTGGCTCAGACAGCGATAAAAGCACTAAAGATCATTTTGATCTTGAGCTATACATCAACATTTGCCTCGAAGATCAGTTTCTGCCATATATGCCAACCTAAAATCGAAAGTTTGACAGGGTATGATCAGTTCTTTTGCACGCACAACATGGCATTCATGTTGAGGAAACTTCTTTTCACTTTTATGGCTATGATATGTCTCTATGGACTGGTGTGTTTGTATACACTCTACTGGCTCTTCAGGAGACCTCTTAAGGAGTACTCTTTTGAAAAAGTCAGAGAGGAAAGTAGCTTTAGTGATATTCCTGATGTCAAAAACGACTTTGCGTTTCTTCTACACATGGTCGACCAATACGACCAGTTGTACTCCAAACGATTTGGCGTATTTCTCTCTGAGGTGAGTGAGAACAAACTACGAGAAATAAGCCTTAACCACGAATGGACGTTCGAAAAACTACGTCAGCATGTGACCTCCAATGCTCAGGATGAACAAGAACTTCAACTCTTTATGCTGTCGGGACTCCCTAATGCTGTATTTGACCTCACCGATCTGGAAGTCCTCAAGTTAGAGCTTATTCCTGAGGTCAGGATTTCAGCCAAAGTTTCTCAGATGACCAACCTACGAGAACTACATCTATATCACTGCCCCGCTAAAGTCGAACAAACTGCTTTCACTTTTCTCCGTGACCATCTGCGATGCCTTCACATTAAGTTTACTGATGTAGCAGAAATCCCACCGTGGATTTATCTGTTGAGGAGCCTAAAGGAACTGAACCTGATTGGGAACTTGAACTCTGAACACAACAAGATGATCGGTTTGGAGTCACTTAGAGATCTGAGACACTTGAGGATGTTGTACCTCAAAAGCAATCTCAACAAAATACCAACTAATCTAACAGAACTCTCGCCACATCTCACCAAACTGGTGATACACAATGATGGGACTAAATTACTGGTACTGAACAGTCTCAAGAAGATAACGAGCCTGGTTGATTTGGAGCTCCAGAACTGTGATTTCGAGAGGATCCCCCATGCCATCTTTAGCTTGGCTAACTTGCAAGAACTGGATTTGAAGAATAATAATGTCCGGACCATTGAGGAGATCATAAGCTTTCAGCACCTGAGAAGATTGATGTGCCTCAAGTTATGGTACAACAAGATCACTGCCATTCCACCATCGATAGGCCTAGTGAAGAGTCTGGAGTCCCTCGTTATCTGTCACAATAAACTAGAGACCCTTCCTCCAGCTTTGTTTCATCTGCCCAAGCTGAGGCACATTGACCTCAGCCACAATTGCATCTCAAGTATACCAGTGGAGGTTGGATACCTTCACAACCTTCACCATTTCGCAATCACTGGGAACAAGGTAGAGGTTCTGCCTAATCAACTGTTTAAATGTTCCAAACTAAAGGTTTTATGTGTGGGTCATAACAGCATCACTTCCATCCCAGAGGCGATTGGACAGTTAGTTCAGCTGTCCCATCTAGAGCTCAAAGGGAACTGCTTAGATTGCCTTCCATTCCAGCTTGGCCAGTGTTGCCTTCTTCGGAAAAACCTCCTTTTCGTGGAGGATCATCTTTTCGACACACTGCCTCTGGAGGTCAAGGAAAGTATCAGTAGTGAATAATGGACTGATGGACATTTCAAATTCTGCAGAAGTCTGCAAAAACTTCTATGGGCCTGTCATCAACAATATGGTCTATAAATGGGCCTCAAAGACAGGAAGCAAATACACACGTGTTGCAACATACAACAGGAACATTGCAAACAACAGGTTTGTGTTTGCTTCTGTTTGCCATTTGTTTAAATTATGTTCTGTTAAACTTGTATATTGTGTTATTTACATTTTTGTTGTCATATTGAATATGCAGGCTGATGCATATTGTAAAGAGACAGTGCACCCAAAAATTGCAATTCTGTCATTATTTACTTGTCATCCCAAACTTGTATGACTACTGTGGAACACAAAAGGAGATATTTTGAACTGATTTTTGTCCATTAATGGGGCCCAAAACAACATCCGACCCTACTGACTTTTATTGTATGGACAAAAACACCTATAAATAATGACAGAATGACCATTTCTGGGTGAACTATCCCTTTAAGTATTGAAAGGTCAGTAGTTCTCATAAATTTGTTTTCAAAAGTGTCTATCAACGGCAGTTTTCAGTGAGGTCTTTTCTTTAACTCTTTAGTTATGGAAACAATCCCAACCTAGAATACATTTTATGTTTTTTTATACAACATTAAACACATGTAAATGTATCATGTATTTTGTTAGATTTGTCCTTTGAGTTTAGGAGCTGCACTTCTCAGCATTTTATACGCTCCAAGAGACAAGATCTGACAGGATGAAAGATTTGATGAAAGTTCATCTTTTCTCTTTAGCAATAACAGCAATATTGCAACACGCTTTCGAGTCGAAGAATGTGTTTTTGTATTTCCTTTGTTAAGAGTGAAACATATGAAATGTTTTTGCTGTGTTGTGCTGATAAGAGGCATGCCAAGGACTAAGAACTGCCAGAATGGGGGGGGGGTGTACACCCTGCACCTCATGATTAGAAAGACAGTGACCTTGTAAAGCTGCCCTCAGTTTACTTTTGCGCTGTCATTATGATTATATCTTAGAAGCCAACCGCTTGTCAAAGAACATCTACAACAACTGCCCTTAACATTCTCTGTTGTGTAATTATTAATGCCTTATTTTTTCTGTTCTCTGATTATTATTAAATGTTGTGTATGAACAAGACTTCGATACATGTTACAATGTTTTTAAAAAGCAATTGGATTAACCTTCAGGTTTAGCACTAAGGGCTAATATTACAAAGAACAATACCTGCAGGGAGGGTTAGCCCACCCCCTTCTGTTTGGTTTTATTGTCATTTCCCGTAGACATTTCTATCTTGATAACTGTTTATAGTTACAGCTGGTGAAAAATTTGCCTAAGACACTGAGCCCTTTGGTTCAATAGTCTGCAAGTGTTTGTGAATGGAGGTGGCATGGTTGTTCTTAAATCTGAACACCTTTCAGCAATGGGTGTGTCTGAAGCTGAATGTGATATTATGACTCTTCTGCTTGGATTTATATTCCCACAAACTTGGTGACACCTAACTGTTCAGGATCTACCAACAGATCCACCAGTTTCTTTCACATGACTAGGTCTGCCTCAGAGGACGATTTGGCTTTCTGCACATATCCCAGTATCACTAGTAATTTACTCTTATCTAAAGTTGAATCTAGCATTTAGTGATAAATCAGTCAGTCTTCGGTTGTACGTGTATAAAATGACTGCTACTCTTGCAATCTGTAGATTATGTGGCACAAATTGATATCAACACATTTGCAAACAAACGGTTACATTCATAGCTGAACATAACCAACAAGTTGAAGACGACAAAAACATTTTATTCTGAACAGCAAAACTGTTTATAGTGATTTACATTTTTTCACATAAATTACCTAAAAAGGTTTATACACAAATATTTGAACCGTAAAAAATCACCTACACAAGTAACAGTTCATGTTTCTTTTGCTTTCCTTTTTTTTTTTTTTTGCACACGTGGCAAACTTACAGATCAAAGATAATATCAAAACAGGGTAATAAATTAAAAACCAAAATGTTACCAGAAATGGTGTAAACAGGGAGTTATGACATGCATACTGTCCGAACTGCTAATATCAATAGAATGGGTTGTTTCACATAATGACTGGTGTGTTGGCATGAGTCAAAATTCTAATGTAAATACTTACATTTCTTGTACTTACATTTACAAAAGACTTACATTTCTACACATATGCATCATATGTGCACCTTTTAAAATCCATGGATGGGACAAAATAAATTGCGTTGGTTTTCAAATGAAAATGGCTTGATATAAAATCCACATACAGTTTAATTTCAGTTTTTGTAGAGCATAAATCTGCCTTGACAGATTAAACTCGGTGTGAGAAGGATCTGAGGTAAAGGTTGTCTTTTGGTGGGTTTCACTGAAATCTCAACATATTCACCCACCGGTCGTACGTTCTTTGACAATGTTCAACACCAGCACAATGTAACAATATCTAAAAAGCGGTCTGTGTTAACAATGGATCCTCAATAAGAGTAAAAAACTTAAAAGTCCTTACTGATGGCAATATAAAATTCAAATGGGAACCAAACAATTTACATACAAGTCATATTCCAAAGACAAATTGTGTGTTTTCCTGGGCTCATGAGGATATTTGCATCACTGAAGGTTGTGCCTGTGGTACTGTGTTGGGGCAAGAGTCCTTGGGGAAGGAGGCGACTTCCACCATCCCTGCCCCTGTGTGCGGTACAGCGGTATTCATGATGTGCCTCTGTAAATGCTTTATCCAGTCCTCCTGCACTGACAAAGGACCCTGGAAGACTAGATCACAAAACCTGCACACGGAAACAATTGCACATTAGATTTACAATGATGCACTGACAAATGGGCTCCAGAAAAAAAATAATATATGTAATGGGAAAAGGAAGAGACAAAACAACCTCACAGAAAGCATTTTTATAAAAGTAAATATGTAATATTTAAATTGTATGAAATTTATGTAAAATACACACACACACACACACACACACATATATATATATATATATATATATATATATATACATACACACATAATAAAAAGTATATACTGTACATGGAAAGCATATTAAATGTGACCATGGACCACAAAACCAGTCTTAAGTCGCTGGGGTATATTTGTAGCAATAGCCAAAAATACATTGTATGAGTCAAAATTACCGATTTTCCTTTTATGCCAAAATCATTAAGATATCAAGTAAAGATCATGTTCCATGAAGATATTTTGTCAATTTCCTACAATAAATATATTAAAACTTAATTTTGATTAGTAATATGCATTGATAAGAACTTAATTTGGACAACTTTAAAGGCGATTTTCTCAATATTTTGATTTTTTTGCACCCTCAGATTCCAGATTTTCAAATAGTTGTATCTCAGCCAAATATTGTCATATCCTAACAAATGTATTCATTTATTCCTAACTTGTTTATTTATTCCTAACTTAATTATTCAGCTTTCAGATGATGTATAAATCTCAATTTTAAAAAATTGGCCCTTATGACTGGTTTTGTGGTCCAGGGTCACAAATAAGTGTCTAATGTTTCAAATGACTTTTATAAAAAGAAAATGTCAAAATACACATGAAATAATGTTCCATCGTTATTCAGTGTAATAGATTTATGTAAAAATGAAACACTTATTCTGACCTGTACTTAATAAAATATATAAAACAAAAAGTGATTGTACCAAATTGAATTATACTTTAAATTATTAAAATTGTCTTGCTGACAAATGGGTAAAACCTTGTAGTTTGAAGGATAGTGGCAAAGACAGGTAAAGATTTAAAGCAACAATTAATTTGTTTTTGGGGAATATGCTGTGATCCTTAAATAGAATCTTTTAATGTCATCTAACGATTCTTGTTCTAAATGTGTCTAACAATATATTATTTTTTTTTGTTATATGAACTTAGGTCTGTTTCCAGAATTAAATCACTGAAAGTGGTTCTGAAATTTGTGAGGGTGCTCTAGCCTGAATGGAAATCTATTGTCATGTAAATTTTTTGTCCAATCCATTGCTATGGTTATCACTATCAATCATTGCTATTTCGAGAGTGAATCCCGTATAGGCTAAATATACGGAATCATTCTTGAAATTTTACAGCGTGTATGTTTCCAAAAGACAAAAGTTTTATACAAATTCTGAACAAATTATAGCCTTTAAAGGGTTAGTTCACCCAAAAATGAAAATTAGGCTGTTTTACTCACCCCCGAGGCATCCTAGGTGTATATGACTTTCTTCTTTCAGACGAATCCAGTCGGAGTTATATAAAAAAATGTCTTTGATCTTTCAAGCTGTTTAATGCCACTCAGCGGGTGTTGCATTGCTTCAGTCCAAAAGAACTTAAAGGGGTCATATGATGCTGCTAAAAAGAACATTATTTTGTGTATTTGGTGTAATGAAATGTGTTTATGCGGTTTAAAGTTTAAAAAACACATTATTTTCCACATACTGTACATTATTGTTTTTCCTCTATGCCCCGCCTTTTCGAAACGCGACGATTTTTTCAAAGCTCATCGGTCTGAAAAGCGAGGTGTGCTCTAATTGGCCAGCTATCCAGTGCGTTGTGATTGGCCGAATACCTCAAGCGTGAGATTAACCGAGACTTGTCATTTGCACTTATATATTGTTGCTCTTTTGTTAGTTTTGACTGCTTTTATTGTCCTCATTTGTAAGTCGCTTTGGATAAAAGCGTCTGCTAAATGACTAAATAAATAAATAAAATAAATAAATAAAAACCATCAGGTGTTAGTATAAATGTCTGCTACTAAAAGCATCTGAATCAAATTATCAAAAACAATTATACTTGTTTTTTTATATTTTTTAAGTTACTTGTTCAGTTACTTCCATGTTACTTGTTATGAGAAATTGCCACAGTCAAAGCAAAGTGTAGGCAGTGAGCATGTGACATGCATTCTTCAGTAGATCAAAGTGACAGTGAGGTGCAGCATCTTTCATAAACAGGAAGTCAAACGCAAGTACAAAATTCATTAACACAGGAGGAAAGAAATACACATACTAGTTCCGTCCAGAAGAGCTTTTTTCTTTCTATGTGCATATGCCCTCAAATGATTGGAGAGACTAACACCACTGTGGAATGTGGTATTACAGTGCACACACACTTTTCTATCGAGTTCACTTTTCTCTGTAACAGAAACACAACATATAAAATTAAACACTTACAGTCATCATAGATACTATAATACAGGTCACATTTATATTAATGAATTAATATAAAATGTTAATGTATAATAATCTATCTACAAATATAGATCTCTCTATCTATCTAGCTACAAATATAGATACAGATATAGACATATAGAGGCATGTTTCTATAGTAGACTGAAATTTATGGCTATGGACCCTTTTCACAGACTGTGATGAAAAAATTGACCAAATTTCTATAGTTATTAAATTATAATTATAGTTTAAAAAAAATTATTTAAATCACTGCACACTTCTAAGACTATTATAGTTTTTTTTACTTTTTTAAATTTAAATTATTGTACATTTCTAAAACTATTATTGTTTAAAAATATATTATTTAAATGATTGTACATTTCAAAGACTATACTTCGTGCTAAACTACAACATTGCTAACAGTAAATTAACAGTAAATTTGATCTTTGTCTCTTCAAGCTGTAATCAATCTTTATATATATTTTTTTTCTGTTTTGGATAGTCGTGGAAAAACTATTGTCGATTTTTTATTTTGCTATTTGACCAAATATGAATGGACAAATTATATTTGTTGTAGTCTCCCATTTATCAGCATAGAATTTTCTCCAATATGTTGACATCTTTTTCTGAGAAACTCAAAAATGTGATCCATAGCCAAAATAGGGTCCAAAAAATAAAAATAAAATTACATCTGAAACATCAATTATTTGCTAGATATGAGGGTTTATTCATCTTTTCATGTTATTTCAATAGATAATTCCCCTCAAAAAATAATTCTGTCATTATTAACTCCCCCATGTTGTTCAAAACATGTATATTTGTTCTTTTTCTGCATTTTTGAAGCATATGGGTATGGTAAATAGTGCTGGGCAAAGATGAATCGTGATTAATCGCATCCAAAATAAAAGTTTTTGTTTATATAATATATGTGTGTGTACGGTGTATATTTATTATGCATATATAAAGACACACACATACAGTATATATTTTGAAAATATTTACATGTATATATTTATATTCATATCATTTATATTATATATGCATATTTAATATATAAACAGCATATTTTTCTTAAATATATACATGCATGTGTGTGTATTTATATTTGTGACTCTGGACCACAAAACCAGTCATAAGTCGCACGGGTATATTTGTAGCAATAGCCAATAATACATTGTATGGGTCAAAATTATCAATGTTTCTTTTACGCCAAAAATCATTAGGATATTAAGTAAAGATCATGTTCCATTAAGATATTTTGTAAATTTCCCATCGTAAATATATCAAAACTTAATTTTTGAATAGTAATATGCATTGCTAAGAACTTTATTTGGATGATTTTCTCAATATTTTGATTTTTTTGGACCCTCAGATTCCAGATTTTCAAATAGTTGTATCTCGGTCAAATATTGTCATATCCTAACAAACCATACATCAATGAAAAGCATCTTTCAGATGATGTATAAATCTCAATTTCACCCAACTGACACTTATGACTGGTTTTGTGGTCCAGGGTCATATACATAATAAATATACACAGAACACACATATATTATGTACACAAAAACTTTTATTTTGGATGCGATTAATCGTTGCCCCGCACTAATGGTGAACCATCCCTTCAATGAAATATTACCTGCTAGAGAATTTGGCACTGCTTTGAAAGGTTGTATCTCCATGCCACAGTCTCTGCCTGAAGATAAAAGGATAGCCTTTCTCGCCGTGTGGGATGGGTGCTTAGCTTTGGTCTCTTCATGAGCTCTTCTTTTCTTCAAAATTCCAATCAGATCACTTGGTGGTGAGCCTTTACTAATGTCTATCCTTTTCTTTTCCTCCCTATCATATTTCTGCCGTTTGACAGTAGATGCAAAGGTTAAACCGTTACTCAACCTAATAGGATGGAAAGAATTAGTGGCGCGGCACTTCTTCTCAAGAACCTGTAGCTTCATCTGAAACTCTTTCTTGTCACGCATCAATTCTTTCAATATGATCACTGGAGATTTAGACACGGTGGAAGAGGGTTTGCCCAGGCGCTTCAGATGGCCTCGTACATGGTTGGACAGCCCAGTCCTTGTGTCAAACCACTCCCTACAGAGAGGGCAGATGCGCTCTGTCTGTTGGCAGTCAGTTTTCAGCTCTGCTGGATGATCAGTCTGGGATGTATCCTCTTCTGCAACAGGGAAACCATATGCAATCAGCTTCATTTACAACAGATATTTATTGCTTAGAAGCCAATTCAATTGGTCTAAACTAAAACTGAAACTGGCTACACTAACCAGCCTGCATGTTAGCTAACTTGCAACACACCGGTTGTGTGGGAATTTTAAACTACTACCTTAAAGGGATACTCCACCCCAAAATGAACATTTTGTCATTAATCACTTACCCCCATGTCGTTCCAAACCCGTAAAAGCTTAGTTCGGCTTCGGAACACAATTTAAGGTATTCTGGATGAAAACCGTTATGAAGCGACGAGAATACTTTTTGTACGCGAAGAAAACAAAAATAACGACTTTATTCAACAATTGGTCTCCTCTGTGTCTCTCCGCATCACTGTAGCCGCGACACAAGGATACGTTTTCTATGTGTATTTACGCTTTTATTTGAACGAAAACAGCGCATCCGTGCAGCGCGGCTGACACAGAATAGCGTACGCTGCTTGCGTTCAGAGGATATCCTCCAAAATGGCGCTACAGTGATGCGGAGAGACACAGAGGAGACGAATTGTTGAATAAAGTCGTTATTTTTGTTTTCTTCGCGTACAAAAAGTATTCTCGTCGCTTCATAACGTTACGGTTGAACCACTGATGGCAGATGGACTATTCTGACGATGCTTTTTATACTTTTCTGGACCTTGACATAAATTCATCTACTGGAATATGCCTAGTACACAAAATATTCTATGGATGCACTAAAATAAAAAAATTCTGGCCGATACGGATAAGCCGATAATTATTTTTCCTAGTTATGGATGCTAACTGCAAAACCAACTGCTAAATAAAATATCTAGCCTACAATAAAGCTATATCTGTACTATTTGTCGTTTTCCTCCCATTTTTTTTTTTTTTGCAATTGTCTTTTAAACCTGAAAAAAGGAAAGTATCATAATTAAAGGCTTTTCTGCAACTAATATCTTAATTGATTTCATTAACAAATGAAATTGAAAACCTCTGAATAGATGCAAGAAATTATATCAAGTATAAGAGAAGCATCACCTGTTTTGACTTGTGGCAGTGTTCGTCGTCTAACTGGAGGTACTTTTTCAAGAGAAGTCACCTTAGCTACAGAATTCCGTACTTTCAGGCCCACTCTGTGCAAATGTCCTCTTATATGATTAGAGAGGCTAATTCCGGACTCAAATACAGCAGGACAGTACGGACAAGCCTTCAGATCGGTCTCAACATCTGAGCTCGGTTCACGCTTTACAACTGTGATCGCTTCCGAGATTTCGTCATCCTTGCATTCATCTTTGACAGAAAGCATCCTTGGGGAACTGTGGTTTTTCCCAAAGTGACCAGTTGAGGCACCAAGACTTGCTTTTGCAGGTGAAGTCTGTTTTTTAACAAAACGTGCATTAGCATTCTCGTTACTTTCACATTCTTCAGGTCCAAGATCATCATTAGAATCACACAGAAAATGACCGTTGTTTATCATTTCTTTACTCCTCTTGGATGTTTCAGGTTTCTTAAAATTTTGTCTGCATTTTGGGAAATCTAAAAGAATATCTTGGCCCTGCATATTGTGGAATGGAGTAGACATTTTCCTTTTGGAAGGTGACTTCTTTAATGTTTGCTTTTCCAAACTTATATGCATATAGTTGGTGTTTCCAACATCTTCTGAACAAGTAATGTTTTCATCAGACTTAGAAGTTCCTTTAGTGTTCCCTTCTTTAGAATGAGCTGATATTTTCAGACACTTTAAGGGGGACAAACTAGCACCTGTTCCAGAAAAAGTGGTCTCGCAATTGAGGGAATCGTCAAGACACTCTGTTGTACTGCTTCCATCAGGCTCCTGATGAGTGTTGCATTCTGAGGCACTCTGGTTACTACGTTTCTTTCTGGATAAAAGTGTGTGAATTGATTTGTCATGTCTTGATTGGCTTTGGACACCTCTATTCATAAACACTTTTTTCTTCCGTACAAGACCACACTTCTCATTGGACGACAAGCTTTTATTTTTGTCCGGTGCTCGGATCTTCACTGACAATTTTGGCGACCTTGCTGTTGGTTTTGCACATGATGTAAGAACATTGCAAACAGAGAATGACTGTTCAGTTGGAGGTGGTTCTTCATCACAATTGTCAAGGGAATGTGAGGATGCCTGTTCTTCTATAAACTGCGGTTGACACGAAGCCTCAACATGGTTTCCAATTATGTTTTTAGTTTTTCTTTGAAAAGAACGGGAGAAGGAAATTGGACATACTGATTTATTGACTTTACGCTCCTGAAATCCATCTGATTTCCAAACAGTCAGATCAGACCCACTGATGCCATGTTTATGAAGCAAATGGCGTCTCAGTTCAACTTCATTCATTTCGACAAAATCGCACTTATTACAACTATAGTACCGCTTGTCCTTCTCGTGGGTCTTAGCGTGTTGCACAAAGGTGTTTGGACAGTTCGTTCCAAAGGTGCACTGGGGGCACTGCAACTTTGCATCTTTACCATCATCTTTAATTTGATGCAACTCATTTATTTCTTCCGTAATTTTGCGTCGCTTGTCCCGGTGAACACTTATGTGATTTAACAACGAACTCTGATCATGATAACACTGTCCACATTCCTTACATATGAATGGCTTTGAACTAGTTGTGTCTGTATTACATGTAATTTGTCTGTGTTCTTGAGATTTCTCTTTAAAACCACTGTTACGGGGAAAAAATGTAGGTTCCTCAATAGAACACGAGTCTGATGGCAAAGTTTCTCTAATTAATCCCAACTTTTGAGTCTTGCTAATAGCCTGTTTTGCAGGTTTGGCAAACAGGTGTTTGACTGCCTCAGCAGCTCCATTAAAATACTTGGTACGCTTTACAATGGGTGACTGTAATTTGGATGGTTTCCTTGGGGAGCGCGTCTTCTTAACATTACTGCATTCTATCTGGCTTCCTTCCCCCAGGTGATCCTTTTTTGATTCAAAATTCAACTCAGGGTAGATGTCCTCTGAAGGATCAACTTTTAACACCAGTTTTTCTTTACGTTGTCTTCTTTTATGGCCGAACGGTGAAGGAGCTCTTCTTTTATGGTTGATGGGTGAAGGAACAGGGGACAGTTTTCCCTCCATTTCGAGACCATTATCATCATCCCACAGGAACTTCATAAATTCTCTTTGGGGATTCCAGTTAAGGTCATTTCCATCATCATAATGATCTAATGAGCTTTCTGGAGATTCTGTATCAAAGCCCCATATGCCCCTATGCTCCACATCCTCCGCAGTCAATGTTTGCCTGATTGTTATTTCCCCCTCTTTTCTGAGTGGATCAGCTCCTTCAAAGTGGACATTGGTTGTGACTGAATTCTGAGCATGTAATGATTTGGGAAGGAATCCTGGTACATTTTTTGAAATATCCAACAAGATTTCATCTGAGATATGGGGTGAGGTGGATCCATTGACGTAAGCAGCCTTGGCTGGTCCATCTGAGCAGATGGTGTCCATAAAACCAACAGTGGTCAGGAGGTCTCCTTGGTCACTGAGTAGTGCCATGGTCTCTTGAGGATAATGCACTGATGGTCCTAATGTAGTTCCCTCTGCACAGAATGTCTCACTGTTCAAAAGGTCCTGAGAGTTTCTTGACATTGAGGTGTCATTTACCTCTACTTTGGCACTCTCCTCCAAACCAGACATTCCTAGGAATCCTAAGGTCCGTTTCTGGGGAGAAAAAATGAAATGAGCATGCATATCAATACATAAATGAATTAGGCCTAATGTTAACTTAGAGACACTAAATATTAAATTACCCTATAGCAAATATAGGCAGTTGGATCCATAGCATGCCCATCTTATAGAATTTATTTTAAGGCCAGGACACACCAAGCCGACGATCGGCCGTCAGTCAATGTCGGGCCGTCTGTGAGCGTCTTTCGGGCTAGTTTGTTTGGCACACATCGGCTCTAGTCGGGCTCACGTCTGCGGCAGTTTGCCCAATTTTACATGTTGAATCGCCGTCGGGGCCGTCGAGGCCGTCGTCGGCGTCGGTGAGAGTGAGAACTCTGATTGGATGATCAGTTTAGCGAACAGGTCAGTGCAGGAGAATTTAAGAGAAAGTGATGAAAACGACTAACTAAATGAAGGTGGCACAGACAGAAGGCTGTTCTAATGTTACGTGATCTTTCCCAAGCATTCCAATAGCCTATGGGAATATTTTCATAACAACAAGAGCTGCTAAAAATGACAACTGATATTCAAAATGGTAAGCAAGTGCTGCTTTGTTTACGTTTTGTATATCTGCGTATATCCTTATTTCAGTTTCTCCTCTTGAATGACAAATATATACTATAGATAGCTGCTAATATAGACAGCTAATTCCTCTCACGCAGATGCAGAACATGCGTGTTAGTTTGCAGTCGGCTGTAGTTTATGCGGTGTAGTGTTCAAGCACGGCTTTTTGGTCCGACGCCCAACACCGTCGGCTTTCATTGCCGCTAGTTCTTTGAAGTTGGCTTGGTGTGCCCGGCCTTTAGGATTTGAAAAAGCAACTTCGTTATATGACGTGCTACATTCTATGTAAAACCATTAAAACATCCACAGACAACTCACTTCAGTCAAGCATAGACAATATGGCAGAGGGCAACAGTTGCCATATGGGTGATAAACGATATCATATCAAGATCTCTAAATTTATGTGGATAACGATGATAAGCTCTGGATATTTTTACTCCATATGGATTAATCAGAACAGCAGAAATAAATGCGACATGAGCCAGTTAATGCTTGTCGCTAATAGGCTAAGTCTTAATGTTCTTAATGTCTTTGTGTGAATGAATAGCGCGGTTTTGTCTGATACACAAACTTAAACACATTAAGTGTTCAACCGTAATTTTACGAAGCTACGAGAATACTTTTTGTACTCAAAGAAAACAAAAATAACGACTTTATTCAACAATTCATCTCCTCATACGCCGTTTACGTTTAGTAACGTAAACGGTTGAACCCCTGATGTCACATGGATTATTTTACCGATCTCCAAAAAAAAAATCATTATTTTTCACATAATTTACCTTTATTCTACACTATACATTCTTTATTCTCTGTCCCTTCTCCCATAAACGCGCTGATCATTTCCTGCTTTTATGAAGCCCCTCCCTCAGAAATACGTGATGGGCTCAGATTGGTTAGCTGGCCCAGTGTGTTGTGATTCGCTAAACCGCCTCTAGTGCGCATCTGAACTTCACGCCCATCAGCTCAGCAGCATGTGCTCCGGTTGTATTGTAAACAATGGCATCGTCAATATTCCTTATCAATTTGAGCCCGATTGAGACGCAGAGGTTATGTTAGCTTATGTTAGCTTTTAATATACGGTTTTATTCTGATTAAAGCTTTAATACAGTACGGCAACCGCATGTGCGTCCATGTTTAATGCTTCTCATAGCTATGTGAAAATAAGTGTATAATTGGAACATTCCAATTTGTTCAATAAGTTCATTGTTGGAGCTGAGCTGAATGAGAGAGCGAGAGAGAGAGAGTCAGTTTGAGCCCGATTGAGATGCAGAGGATATTAGTGAAGAGGATCGTGCAAAACCTGTGCAAGCACAGCTCTTAATGGTATGTTTTTTATTGTTGTTGTCTCATACTTTTCAGAATCAGAATCAGAATGAGCTTTATTGCCAGGTATGTTTACACGTACGAGGAATTTGTTTTAGTGACAGAAGCTCCACAGTGCAACAGAATGACAGTGACAAGGCAGGACACAGATAATAAAAAGAATAACATAAAAATTTACAATGTACAAAAAAGCAAAAAAACAATATATAATATAGACAATTTTGTATGTACAGGTATGTGCAAATTTGAAATGTAAATAAGTATGTGTTTTAGATACAGTGTTATTTGTAAATGCTGTTACTTCTGTTAGCTTTTAATATACGGTTTTATTTAAAGCTGATTAATGGTTTAATACAGTACGGCAACCGCACGCACGTCAATGTATAACGCTTCTCAAAGCTATGTGAAAATAAGAGTATAAATGGAACAGTTGATTGTTGGAGCTGAGCTGAATGAGAGCGAGAGAGAGAGAGAGAGAGAGAGATAGATGCAGAGCGTGTGCAGAGCAGGGGGACTGTAGGAACAGTATTAAGAACCGCTGTTTAGAACATTGATTTTGAAACTTGTGAATCCATTAGAATCGTTAGAAGACAGAATCGCGATTCATATATGAATAGATTCTTACGTGCAGCCTAGACAATTTTGTATGTACAGGTATGTGCAAATTTGAAATGTAAATAAGTATGTGTTTTAGATACAGTGTTATTTGTAAATGCTGTTACTTCTGTTAGCTTTTAATATACGGTTTTATTTAAAGCTGATTAATGGTTTAATACAGTACGGCAACCGCACGCACGTCAATGTATAACGCTTCTCAAAGCTATGTGAAAATAAGAGTATAAATGGAACAGTTGATTGTTGGAGCTGAGCTGAATGAGAGCGAGAGAGAGAGAGAGAGAGAGAGAGAGAGTATTGAGAACCGCTGCTTTTTGAACATTGATTTTGAAACTTGTGAATCCATTAGAATTGTTAGAAGACAGAATCACGATTCATATTGGGGCTGGGCAAAAAAAAAATCGATTTTTCGATATATAGTTTTTTAAAATGTGGTCGATTCAATATCGATTCTCAAAGGCCACGAATCGATTTTTTTCTATATTTATTTCCGCAAACACTGAACATAAGATTTACGTTAATCTTATTACTAGTCTAATCCACTAGATGTCACCCCCTTATTTGCCTTGCGCGATGTTACAACGGAGAGTCCGTCATTCATTCATTGCTTAAAATGGCGGATTCAGGTTAGGCTTGCCGCGATAGACGGTGTTGACGGTGATACCGGTGTTAAGCCGCAACACCGGTTACGTCACTTGCCCACCGCGTCACCGACCTCCACCGTCGTTTTGATTTTTTATAGAAATAAAAATCACTTAGCTCAGTAAAAGAGCAGACACTACAATTAAAAACTGAATGCGGCTGCTCAATGCAGCATGCCGAACGACAGTCGCATCACAGATCAGATTTCATTTCTCCAATGAGGAGAGTGAGTCGAGCTGACTGACAAGAAAAGTGGGGTGAGACAGGCAAGACAATGGCGGATGATTTAGTTTCGAAACGACATGCAAAAGCGCCTGTTTGGCAATATTTTGGATTTTGAAAAGCCTGTTGATGAGAGCTTGAAAATCGAAATCTAATCAAATTGGAACATCTGAATCGATACCCAGCCCTAATTCATATATGAATAGATTTTTACGTGCACCCCTATTTTTCTCTTCCTCGCAATCAACCACCCCTTTAAGGGTGCTTTCACACTTGGTTCGATTGCTTGGTCCGAACCGGAGTTCGATTGCTCCCCCCGCCCCCGCTGGACTGTTCACATTATATTATTTGGGTCTGAACCGCGGTTCGTTTGCCATAAAGCCAGCAGCTGTTTATCCCGTTGCTTAGTAACGATGGCGCAGGAGAAGACGGCAAAATGCGTAGCAAGGCTCTCTTCAATTTTATATTTATGTTTTTGAACCGTTGGTTTTGTTTCCAAAGCTTCAGTACATAACGGCACTTACGTCTGCCTTATGCAAATGCTCTAAAGAACTCTGAAGGCGAATAGAAATGAGATATACAGCTCTCTGCTTGCAGCGCGTCAGTCACGCTCATCAGGAAAGTGAGTGAAAAACACACATTTTGATCAAATAATACGTCATTAATAGCGGTTTACTTCCGTGATTTGGTACGATTGTGTTCACATCAGCAGCGAACCGTACCGGAGTTCACTTGAACCGTACCCCAGACCACCCTTTTTAAGCGGACTCGGGTACGGTTCGTGGGTGCGCACCCGAGTTCGGAAGACATGCGAACTCGGGTTCAAGCGAGTTCACATCATCCAAACGTACCGAACTCTTGACGTCAATCGAACCCGGGTGCGCACCAAAAGTGCTAGTGTGAAAGCACCCTAAGTCTTCGACGTAGACCGCCTTTTAATCTTTGTCTTGCATAAACTACAGTTGATTCATGTGAAATATCCACTCCTGTACATCCTTTGCAAAATCATCAGATGATCTCTTGTTGGTGGACAGACTGTAAAGCCGCGAGATGCGTGATATCACAACAGATGGCGGTAATGAACAAATTTAGTTTGTCAGAAGAAGACGCTGCGCTGCTTCAATGCATTACTGGCTCGTGACTCATCAGAACGCAAAACGGAATGTAGCTTTTGGTTGTGCTACACCACTACTTGTTGAAAAAAGTAGTTAGCTACTGGAAAAGCTACACTGTTTTAAAAGTAGGCCTAGCTGAGCTACTGTCACGCTACTGAAAAATGTAGTTACGCTAGTTGTAGCTAGCTACTCCACTAACACTGACATGATCACACGTACTTCATCTCCAGAGTAGGGCTGTGAAAAAAAAATTCGAATTTCGAATATTCGTCGAATTTCAAATGCGACGACGATGTAAGTGTCATTGCATTGTAATGCTTTTGTTTAGTGGCCGACCGATATTGGTTTTTTGACAGCCGATGCCGATATCTTGGCAAGCAGGGTGGCCGATGGCCGATATAAAGCCGATATCATTTTATTTATTTTAATTGATATTTAAAAAATTTGAAATCATTTGAAAATGGATTAAAAAATAATTGTGTTAAATAAACATACTTATACTTTAGATGACAA